AATTAAAACCGCCAGTAGGTGACAGCAAGTGACTGTTAATGAGTGAGTCATTGAGATTCAACCAATTCATTCAAATGACTGATTCATTCAGAAACAAAGCACTTGACTATGTTAATGAGTGAATCACTGAATCATTTATTTAACTTATATAAATATAAAAAGCATACAGAAGCATTTTTGCCGTCTACAATTTAGAATGCCTGGAATTTTGAGTTTTAATAGACTAATAAATCTATGTGCGTGCCCTCTGTGTGTGATTTGGTGATATAGCCTACTTGATAATGTCAGATCGCTCATCACAACACTTACCATATTATCGCAGACGATGTATATATATCGCAGACACCAGCCTCGACTTGAGTGGAAAATTAATCATCGAAAGATGCATCATTCGTTACATTACACCACTGAATTCAACCCATGCATCTCTAAAACAATGCTTAAAATGTTGAAAGCAAAAGGCAGCAAATTATATATGCAATATTTTAATTAGTTGTCTTAAAAGAAAGACAACAATGCTGCTTTTGTAAAGAAGTGAGTCATTAAATATACATTGCGTCTGTATATAAATTATGCTCTCGTTGGAAAGACTGTAAGGTTAGAAGACACGGTTATTTCAGTTTTAAAACGGCACCCTCCAGGCGGCCGCATGGACTGCTCCTCCACGAGACACTCTCGTCCCGAATCATATTCTGATTATTCTCAAGCGGGTGATACAGGATAGCAATTGATGGAACTGATAGTACAAGAAGGCATCAGACAGCATGTGAAGAGATAAGACTGATTGTGTGTTCAGACATCCTCACCTGTGAGGCCCAGGGGCCCCTCTCTTCTATTGAGTGTCACTCATAGACCTCTATCTTCTCTTGGGGCCTCCTGATCTGTATAAGCATAATAATCAGACTCAAATTGGCTGTGAGGGGAAAAAAGGTAGACTATTGAGTCACAAAGCATTAGTGCATGGCTGTCCCAGTCGACTGCTTCCATGAACAAATGATTAAGGTGTACTCTTTATACATTTTTTATAAGTGCTATCTCTGTTGGATATCAGCCAAGCAGGTCCAAGTAGAATTGGGTCTTTCCACTGCTTTTAAAACAGACGTTATATAGTCGACTTATAGGCTTCCAATTACTCATGTGATTTTTTTTTTCCGAAGAGCCATCCCATTGGATTTCTAAGGAAGCATAGTGTTTTGTCTCCTGTTAAAGAGACTGACACCGGAGCAACGTGACTCTTGTCATTGTGGGCTTTATCAGTGATCTTTCTCTGGATGTGGAGGGCTTTGCCCTGCCACCTGTTCAGGCCTTCGACTTCTACCGAGATGCATATCATAATTTCTCATCAAAACTGCTTCCAAACGTTAGATTTATAATGACGTGGAATAATTTCACCTAATGATAAATATGACTTGTATGTAGAATTCAAGTAAAATATTAAGATTAAGTTCCTGTTCCTGTTGTTCTTCTTGTAAGTTCCTGTTGATTTATTTTTTGTGCATTTTATTGAAAGTTAATGTACTACTGTATGTCTATTTTTTGTCTACAAATAACTCCTCTTCATTTCCTTAGCTTCAGATAAAGTATAAATATTGTCTATAAATTCTGAAAACTACATAGAAACCCATGTTACTGTCATTCAAGAGGAGCACCAGGATTGATTTAAAGAGATGGTTCACCCAGAAATTAAAAATTCTGTCATCATTTACTCACCTCGTGTTGTTCCAAACCCGTATCACTTTTTTTCTTCTGTGGAACACAAAAGAAGATATTTTGAGTATTGTTTGTAACCACACAACTTTGGAGACTGTTGATGTCTATATTGCACAGTATAAAAAAATTAATTCTGTTCTGTAGATAAAAGTCACTCATACAGTCTTGGAATGACATGAGGGTGAGTAAATGATGACAGAATTTTCATTTTTGGGTGAAATATCCCTTTAATATTCCAGCACGTTAAATGAAAAATAATTTATTACAT